TTAGAATTCTGTTAAGACGACTGAAAGAGCGCTACTGAATTTTCAGCGGCTAAATGTGAATGAATTGCCATATTATGATAAAAGAAAAATATTGAAAAAGTTCTGTTATCTATCATTCTGTAAAATTTTCCTGCTACCTTTTACCCTTTCATTTTTTTTTTGGTGGGAGGGGGGCTTTACTTGCAGCCTTTTTCTCCGTTCTTTCAACAGCTTTTTTCCTCATTTATCGTTTCCAGCCATAGTTTCTTTGTGTTAAATTTTCTCCTATTAATATTTCTGTTTTCTTTTCCCATTAAAATTTTTTTTTGGGCAGTTAATTTCGGTTTATTTTTGCCTTTCAACTAGCTTTTTAACCTTTTTTGCTCGTCATTTGCTCTATTAAGAGAAAAGTCAAGTCAAGTAAGGTAAGGTAAGGTAAAGTAAAGTAAAGTAAAGTAAAGTAAAGTAAAACAAAATAAAATAAAGTATAAGCCGAAAACTTTTTTTTTTTAATTTTATTTTGTTGTTCGAAATGCAGAGTTGTTATGACAACATTCTGTTATACCTAATTAAATTAGATGAATAATTGTAGGCTTAAAAGTCAAAAGGTGTTGTCGACAAAATGTCGTAACTTTACAGCAATTTATTAAGTGTTAAAAACAGAAAGCTACAGTTGAAGGGGAAACAAAAAAAAAAAGTTTGGGAAATAGCTTTGGATGATAAAAAAGAAACAAAAAAAAAGAGAATAAAAGAACGGAGAATAAAGTTCTGAACTCAAATCATGACTAAAAATTCCTGAAAAAATTTATCTATCAAAGGATCTTATTTTGTTTGGTTTTTTTTTTTAATTTAAGTGAGAAAATGCTTATGTCGCTTAGATGTTGACGTAAGATGCGTTTTTCAATTATCAGAGCTAAGATACAGCTGAGTAATGTTGTTTTTAGGAGTTTTGGTTGGGTTAAAGTTTAGCAGTATTGCCACTATTATTCATTCCAAAAACACAGAAAGAAAACACTCACTTTTTTTTTTTTCTGAAATGAGATTTTCTGCTCAAAAAGTTTTTCGCATATTTGATTTCATCGACGTATCTGATGGACAGTTTCTGTTTAGCAAATTTTTCACTAGTTGTTGATTTTTTTTTTTTTT